GCGGCATCGCTGCTGCATCTGTGGCTTGCTCGGGTCCTCTTCAGCCTCCTCCCCTTCCCCTGGGCATTCGGGGGGGGGCCCGTCGTTAGAGGGCTGGATCTGCCTCGACATCTTTCGGACAAGCGCTCGGGGAAAGGTTCAGGGGAGACGACTTCGAGGCGGGGCCGCCATATATACACCAGCGCCGATCCTTGCCAGGCCCGTTCAAAGACGCCTTCCTGGCCAAACCACTCGAGAGTGTACAATGGACCCTCCTCCTTGTCTCGTCCTTCTCCCTCCACCCTTCCTTGCTCGTCGTCGTCGTTCTCCTTTGCACGCCCCCGGCTGAACTGCATCTTGCTGCTCGGAGACAGCGAACAGCCAGCGCTTGCCCCTCTGTGCGAAGCAGGGCGAAGCCAATGAGGCCTCTTGTGCCAAAAACGGCTGCGAATAGCAAGGAGAAGGGGGGCAGGACCACGACGAGAAAGAGTGCGGACGACGAGGGAGGCTGCAAGAGGAGGCGGCAACAGGAGCAGCAGCATGAACCGCCAGGCGGCGGTGCGCACGGGCGGAGGCTGCTCGTGCGCAGGCTCGCGCCGCGCAGGAACATTGGCTGGTGCTGTGGCGAAGCTGCGTCTTGGCAACCTCGAAAAGCCGAATAACATCCAGAACATATCGGATCCTTGTGGGAGCCTTGTATACTACGGACGCCACAAGGAATCCTGGGAAACATGTCCTTCTCCCTCTTCGCCCCCTCCTCGTCCGTCTCGTCCCCCTTGTCGTCGCGGCCACCAAGGGCGATCCTTTTTGCATCGCCGTCCGTGCTGGCCTTCTCTGTTTTCCGAATGTTGCGTGTACTGCAAGCGGCTATCTCGGTACAGCAGAGGCAGTGAATGGTTCAGATGCTGCTGCTACTGCTGTCGCCACTATTGCTGCTAGCGTTGTTGCTGCTGCAATTGCTGCCACAACATCTGAAACTATAGCACACGAAACAGATGCAACTTCGCTACGTTACTCCCTGAACTCGACTGCTGTGGCCGGCCAACCCACCTCAGCACAGCAGCCACTCGATCGCAGCCATTGCGTTTTTTTTCAGCTTATCGAAGCTGGCGCTCAATGCTAGAAGCCAATCGGCCTCCCAGCGTGAACAAGGCATCTGATTCTATTGTCCTGTTCGGTCAGTAGCGGCACTATTCGCAGCCAGAACCAACACCAAATCGTGACGAAATGCAAGAACACCTTTGGGTGTAGAGGCTCAGTCGTAATTCCTCAACCTTTGCTGGGATACACCCTGCGAAATGCTTAAGGAATCATGGGTTAAGCAATTCATAGTCTCAGAAATTGAATAAAACCCAAAACTTGTATCAAAATCTTGGGATTCACATTGAAAAGTTAAGAATCATCGGGACTCTGGACGAAAACTTAGGTTTTCTTAAGCATCGCCTAAGGTGTACCCCGTCTAACACCTGTGGAACAAACTTCCTGCACGACAGCCGCGCACCCCAGAATAGCCTCGACGCGAAGACAGGGCTCCCCCGCGGGGTGGATCGCTTGGACTGATATCGAGACCTCCTCCTCTTCCTCCTCCTCCTCCTCCTCCTCTCCTCCTCCTCTTCCTCCTCCTCCTCCTCCTCCTCCTCCTCCTCCTCCTCCTCCTCCTCCTCCTCCTCCTCCTCCCCCTCCGTTTCCCCTTTTCCTCCTTTTCCTCCTCCTCCCCCCCCCGCCCCGGGTGGCCGATCCGGAGACCTGGGCGCCTTCGTTCGCCAACGCACTGGGCCCAAAGCTTTGAGGCTGCTCCCCATCTCACTTGAGCTGAGCATTGCCGGTGGGACGCCACCGAAAGCATGCCGGGGTACACGATTGAGCTGGCCCAGCGTAGCTGGCACTCGATCGTCTGCAAGTGGTATCGGTAGCAACCTGGCAACCGACTGCACGCATTGGCTACACAATGTCCTGCGCATCGAACCAGTCCTCCACACCACGTTTGCTGGCAACGCTGACCTGGTTGCCCAAAGCCTCGGTGCGCTTTCCTTGGGAGGACCGTCCAAGTTCCGCACCGCGCCGGTAGAAACATGCTGACTTTAGTGTATACAAAAGGAGAATCAGCTCATCGCATGCGGCATCTCTGCGTAAACCTGCGCAGTCAACCTTTACATTCTGGAATCGGAAGGGCCAGGTTCTGACCGAATGCAGCCACGCCATCTTTGAGCTTTTACACCCGATGTGCAGTCTGTGACGCAACCAAACGCAAGCAGCACGGTGGATTACACGGCTGCGGCACTTGGTACATCGACCAGATGTAGGGTCGGCAATGCTGGAGAGCCCATGCACGTCACCATCCAAGCGAAGTCCGAAAGAACCCGGCCACGCGCACTTCGCGACAGTGTGGAGAATGGCGCCCCTTGAAGGGCGGCAGCTGCAACATCGGCACCAGCGAAGCACCCAGACGATACATTCTCAGAGCAGTGTACTCTCAAGTTCAGAAAGCAGAATCACTGCTGAAAAGCATGCCTCAGCAGACACGAACAACCAATGGCCGTGCGTGTGCGAGGTCAGGTTCCCCAGCGGGGAGGCCAATCTCCAGTGCATGTGTGATGATGCACTAACACTACGCGGCGGCCACCTTTCACGTGCAAAGACCGAGGCAGCGAACATGTTGGTCACACTGCATGCTGAGAAGCGGGTTCTTTGAAGGGGCCCCAGGACACACAAATACATACACACACAAATAAACATATTCCCCATATGTTCCCCATATTTTCTGGGTTTCTGTCTTCCCCCCCATTTCCCATATTTTCCCATATTTTCTGGAAATCGAAGATTATTTTTGTCTGTGTTTTTTCCTCTCCTGATAATGGCAGCTGTCCGATGGTGTTACAATAGACCCCCCTCCCTTGCGCGCGTAGCTCGCCAGGGGCGGCCCAGCGCCGACCCAAGACATCTGCGCTGAGCTTCGCAAATTTATCGTTCTGTCGCTTGTTCCCTTCTTTGGTCAAATCCGTCATTACGGACACCTATGGCACTGGCATCACCGAGCTCCACGACTGGTTCTGAAAGCTCTTAAGCGTCACTGAAGCCATCTGGTCATTTCTTGACTGTCACAAGCCATGTGCTTTCTACGGCAGACCGCAAATCGCGCACGCTCTCCGTCCGACGAGGACGGCGGCGGCGGCGGCGGCGGCGAAGAACTTGTCGCTCGGCCTCCACGGCGCCCTCCGCAACCGCTGCGCCCGCGGCGGGGCCGCCGCCGGCCGGGAACTCGGGCGCGCCCCCTGCGCAGAACGCTGGGCAGGGAGGACGGGGCGCAGACAGATCGCCGCCGCCATCGCCGGGCGCCGCTGGTCGCCGGCGGCGCCGCCGCCTCCGCCGCCGTCGTCGCCGTCGCCGTCGTCGTTGTCGACGACGTCCGTGGGAGCGGGGAGGTGGCCAATTATCTGCGAGGGATCCAGGGCCAAAGATGGAGGGAAGCTCCGAGGAGAAACTCTGGAGGCCTCCAGGGGCCTCGACCTCCGGGAACATCCGCAGACCTCTGGAGACCCAGGCCTGTGGAGTCTCGAAAAGTTGCGATTATCTGAGGCCTGGGCGCGATATCTTTCCTTGCAGTGTTGGGTGTCCCGATGCCGTCTCGTGGGCCCAGGGCCTTCAAAGCTTTCGCAGGACTGAAAGCGAACCCCAAGAAGGGGGTCGAAGAGCTTGGGCGCTCAAGAATGAACAACAGATACGTCTGGGGGTCCTCTTCCGCTTCCTCCCTAGGCCAGCCTCCCTCGCGTGCTTCAGGGTTCCCCAGGTCCCCTAGGTCTTGATTTCCTCACTGCTTTGGAAGGCCAGCCTTCCTCGAGTTCCCTGGGTTCCCTGGTCTTGTCTGCGTAGCGTGATTGCAGCATTGCCAGATACTGCGTAGACGTGTCAGGCAATGCACGGCCAAACGATGCCAAGCAATGTCAAACTTTGCGCAGCGACGCCAAGCAACGCCAACCAATGCCAGACGACGCAACACCATGCACTGCAATGCAATGTCAGAGACGGCCACGCCATGCGAAGCCTGCCAGAAGATGCCGCTCAAGAAACGCTCCCGTCATTGGGGCTGCTCCGGGTTCACTTGGTATGCAACTCTCCTCGCTCCCTCCTCCCCCGTGCCAGGGCTAGATGGTTTGCAAGGTTCGTGAGGCCTCCGGGCTCGATGCCACGGAACTCCTGAGAACTCCCGTGCGCCTACTGGGTGCGTATGTTGCTTGGCCCATCAACCCTCACTCCAACACTCATGCCAAGCCTGTTCTCTCTTCCCTTCTCGCGTGCCGCTCAACATGTATATCCGGCACCCTCGATACCCGCCCTCTCCGTCTTCGATCGTACCCCCCTTGGGGGTATATCTTCCTTACCTGCCGCGTGTAGTTGGCGCAGCCTCTGGTATAGGGGAAAGCCGGAAATAAGGAGAAGGGAATGGACATGGGGGGAGAGTCGGCGGTGGACAAACCTCCCTTTAGTAGACCTCCCCTAAGTGAAAACGGCCTGGGACCGAAACCGACGCACCTGGACCCGCGAACATGACGGCCGCGACGCCCTCTCGCGAGCCGAAGACGGCCAGTTCCTCAATCGACGTGTCAGGGTAGGAGGTCTGTCCACCCCCGAGAGAAGGAAGGATGGAGCACGAGAGTGCAGGAGGGGGGCTAGGATTATGTTGTTCCCATCCTACTTAAGGGCAACACTCCAGAAATAATTTCGAGCACCCGGAAAAGTGTCGAAAGAGAGTCGAAAGGGTGTCGAGACAGTGTCGGGCGAGTGTCTCCCAGGGCCCGACACGTGAAAACCACCGAGCTTCGGAATTGGTGGGGGGCTCGAGATTCATTTTGGTGAGCACCCGGAAACGTATCGAAAGAGTGCCGAAAGAGTGTCGGGCGAGTGTCTCCCAGGGCCGGACACGTGAAAACCATCGAGTCTCGGTATTTCTTGGGGGGCTCGAAATGCATTCTAGTGAGCAAGGCTGAAAGTAGGTTGGAACATCATACAGTCGGGGCGTTGACCTAAGGAAGCCTGAACCAGAAACGAAGCCCCTGCTTTCCCCAAGTTGAACTTCGCCTTCCCATCGGAAACCGAATGGAAACCTAAGGCAAACTGTAAAATAGTTCAGGGACACGGAGCACCTCCCCAACGAAAACTGCTCCTTCTTCAAGACCCCGGCTGTAAGTTTGGACGCCCGAAATGGGTACCGAAAAAATGGGCACTATGCCCAACAGCAAATGTTGCCCCAAACTAACAGCGGCCGCTGTTGGGCAGGCGGCCTTCTGTCTCGAGTGGACACAGGCCGTGGCGGCGCGGACAGCGAATCCTGTTCAGAATGAACAAGAACTGCTGTTGGGCATCGTACCCATTCTTTCCGTGCCCATGTCTGTCGGGCGTGCAGAGTAAGGCCAGGGGCAGGAGCAGCCCGCGGCAGGGAGCACCACGGGCGGGGCCGGGCGGGCGGGCCCCGGGTGGAGACGGGGTCGGGCGGGCGGGGGCCCCGGACGGCGCGGTCGAGCGGGGGGGTCGCTGAAGCGCCCATCCTGCATGCACCGGGAAGAACCAGAACCTTGCCCTCTTCATATGAATTATGCCTTTGTTCGAAAGCAAATAATAATACTAATACTGATAAAAATAGTAATAGTAATACTAATAGGAATAGTACTAATAATAATGATAAGAATCATGATAATTTTCAATAAAACATGAAATTCGGACTTACGATGTTACGATTCTATTACACATTGTCACAGCAATCTTCTTAGGTTTACAGTAAACATCAGATCTTAAGTCAGCATGCTATCGCATGTTCTTTTTGACTGGAAAAATCCATTATGGACGGTGTTTAGTCCAGAGCGAGAGCACATGGTGAGGAAGTCTCCTGCGGGAGCCGCTGTTGTGGTAGATCGGGGGCCAGCAGCGCAATCGGAAGCACAATCGTTCTCTTACGAGCATGACAAGAAACAATGGGCACCAGAGGGTGAGGATCTCAACAATCGGGGGGCACGAAAGGGGCGATAGCAACGGGTAGGGTAGATAATCAGCTCACGAGGCGGATTTGCCCGGCGAGGCGCCCATGTATCGAGGAATGGTCCCGGCGGCGGGGCTGAAACCAGCTGCACGCAGCAGATTTCGTCCCCCCCCCATTCTCTATGTCCCACCCTTTCGTTCGGCCCGATACAAAGCTTCTTCTGCCGGCCCGAAGAAACCACCAACAACCACAACTTTGGCATCAGAGGGTACGCTGGGCCGAGTGCCAGGGGCCTTCCCCGTCCAAGACGACCCAGAAAACTCCCCGAGAGGCCTCCGGAGACCCCTGAGAAAACCTCAAGGCACGGTGGCGGAATTGGAAGCATCGTGAAAGCCATAAACAGAACCTCTTGGCGCGCCGCGCGGATTTCTTGGGTCTGCGCTGGACCCCCCTTCGTGGCGAGCGGAGCGCGCTAGGGGCGCGCCGGAGGCGCCGCCAGGGGGGCCCAGCGTGGATCCAGGAAATCCGAGCGGAGCGCCAACAGTTTATATGTCTGTGGCGTCTTGTCTTGCTCGACGAATGGGTCGCAGGCCGCTCGTAGATGATCCAACGCCCCCTGTTTCCACAGGGGGCCCGACGAGCCAAACCAACCCAAGAGTTGCCGAGCCTCCCTTGCGCGCTGCCTGGGCCCTCTGGCCCCCTCCCCCCCTCGCCTTTCTCTGCTCCGACGGGCGACGGGGGGCTTGATGGAGCGGGAGGAGGAGGAGAAGGAGGAGGAGGAGGAGCAGGATGAGGAGGAGGAGGAGGAGCAGGAGGAGCAGGAGGAGGAGGAGGAGGAGCAGGAGCAGGAGGAGCAGGAGCAGGAGGAGCAGGAGGAGGAGGAGGAGGGGGAGGAGGGGTTGGGCCCAAACCTGCCCCGTTCGACACCAGGCGAGCAGAACGGGATGAGCTGAACGCACTTGCGAGGGGAGGGGCAGGAGGGACAACCGGATCACCTGACTTCGCGCCTCGGGCCCCGCGAAGCGCGGTTCCCTCCGAGCCTTCGCGCCGCCGCCCTGGAGAGGGGCGGCTTTCCAACCCGAGCCGCGATGCGCGAAACGCGATGATCTTCGCGCCCCAGGGAAAGACCTGGGGTAGGAAATGCTACGTGTGGCGCGAGCGCACCTGCTTATATATATATATATATATATATATATACATATATATATATATATATATATGTTGTTTGTTGTTTTGTGTTTCTCTCTCTCTCTCTCTCTCCTCTCCCATCCCCCCTCCCCATCACCCCTTTGCCATCTAGACAAGCGCTGTGGTTTCTTCTAGCCCTGAACCCTGCCGCAGGCGCCATCGGATGCCCAGACATGTCATCATATCATCGCGGCGCTCGCCCACAGAAACTGATCCGATGAATGGTGGGAATGCACAGACGTATCAAGTTCGGTAAAGCACTGAATGAGTATGATATTGATGCGGACATCGCACGTAGAGCATACACACGCCTGCGATAACCATCTCCGCACCGAAGATTTGATGCTGCGGCCTGGACCACTGCTCTGAGGCGACTCACTGGTGCGCAAGGCATGCCTGTAGCGTTGGGCAATCCTGGCGGGCAAGCCGTGCCTTCCAAGACGGCTTTCCCCATGCACTGTTGCTGCCCAGCCAGGGTGCATCAGGTAGTCGCGAGAGTTGTGATCATGATGTAGGCGAGGGATCCGAACGCGCAGCACAAGAACGTGTGGAATTCCGCCAGGTTGCCCTCGCCGACGCACTTGGACATCCACGGGCAGTGGTGGTCATAGCCAGCAATGCACACCTGGCACATGTCGCAGTGCTCAACACCCTCGGCCATCTCGACCTGGCAGCTGTCGCAATGTGCGAGCTGCCGCCCAACCTGCTCGTCCCTGCGCGCCTTCTGCCGCGGCCGCACCACGATCCCGGGGTTGACCAGGGCGCACCGCAGCAGGGCCTCGGCCGATCCAACCGTGCACAGCGCCCCGATCACCGCGTGCACCGTCTGAGCCTGCACCGCCATGGCCCAGATGAACGCGCTGCCGACGCCGACCACGGTGCACAACATGAGTAGGGGAACAAGAAGTGGCATGAACATACAAACTCGGAGGTCCGCGCGGACTTCTCGGATCGGCGCTGGACCCCCCTCCCTGGCGCGCGGAGCGCGCCAGGGGTGTCGCCGGAGGCGCCGCCGGGGGGCCCCAGCGCCGATCCGAGCTCCGAGCTTTTATGTTTATGTCACTTCTTGCTCCCCTAATGAGGAGGGTGCAGTACCAGTGCGGGCCGATGTACAGCACGCAGCCGCCGCAGAGCCGCACGGCGCAGATCCTCCCCAGCCACGCCACCCTGCGGCCCTCCAGCCGGTTCGCGTGCTCGGCGGCCCGCGACGCGTCCCGCCAGCCCCCGCCGCGCGGGGCCGCGTCCACGAGGGGCAGCCCGTCGCCCCCCGCCTCCGCGGCGGCCTCCTCGTCCTCGCCCGCGCTCGCCCCGGCGCCGCCCACCACCTCTGGCTCCATGGGCGTGTCTTGGCGACGCGCAGGGGGGTGGAGGGGGGAGGGGGAAAGGCTTCGTGGGAAGGGGCTGCTCCTCAGAAGGCGCCGGCATGGCAGCTGTGACCGCAAGAAGCCGTTCAAGGCCCCCCCGGGGTTATCATTGGCACAGCACCGTAATCAAACAATTCTGGGGGGCGGTTTTCGCCGAACGATATGATTAGCACCGCGTGGAACAAAAATAAAAAATTCCCGCGCCCCGGCTCGGGTGGTATCCCAAGTGGAATTGGAATAATAATGACATATGACTATACTAAAAATGATAATGCATTGTTTGAAGATGTCTCAGGCGAGGCGCTGTTTGCAGAACCACAGGGAGAACACATTGCGAGAACGTCTCAGGCGGTTTGCTTGTTTCGGCGAGCAGACTCTTCTGCGTTCAAATAGAAGTGCGAGATGCCAGAGTAACCCTTCTGGGGTGCCGGGTGCGTTATTAGGGGGCCACATGCGAACCCTACCCCTACCCCCCACGATTTCTGAGGGGGGAGGGTGGGTCTCACTTCGTTCGGGAGCTCCCGAGCGAAGTGAATCCCACCCTCCACCTCACGAATAGTGGGGGGTAGGGGTAGGGTTCGCAGGTGGACCCCTGGTTATACTTTCGCCGGAGAGGGGGGGGGGTCTGAATTGCTTCTTGCGGTTAGGCAGGGCCGCGCCTTCTGACAAGCAGGGGTGCTTCTAATCGGGGGCGCGCAAACATGGATTGGCGATCCATGGAATTGGCGCGCGGTCGCCAACTCCATGGAGCGGGGGAGGTGCCCTCCCCGAAATGCGGCCGGTGCCGCCTCGCTCGGCGGCGGAAGTCCAGGACTTCCCGTGGAAACGGGACCCGTCGCTAATCCACGCCCCCTTGATCCATGTTTGCGATCGCCTGATCTGAGAAGCCTTCCCCCCTCCCCCTGCCCCTCTCTGGAGAATGGAAAAGTACCGATGCCGCTACTCTCCAGACCTCTCCCGGGGTGCGCTCTGACCAGGATTTCGAGGCGGACCCAGCGATGGCGACGAGGGCCTCCGAGGAGGCCCACAGAAGGGAGAACGAGGGAAGCGTAGAGGCACGGGTGCCTTTTCCTCCTCCGGCCCCCGCGGCGCGTGGCCGACTCGGCGCGCGCGCCGGCGGGCCGCCCGCGAGCGGCGGGCGGCCCGCCGCCCGAAGGGGCGGCGCGGGGGGCGCGGGCGCGGGCGGCCCTGGGGCGCGTGGGCCCCACGGAGGGCGCGCGGCGGCAGGCGAGGTGGGCGGCGCGCGGTCCTTGGGCCTCGCCGCTCCTCGAGCTGGGCGGCGCGCACGATCCTCGCTGCTCGATCCCCCTCGATCCTCGCTCCTCGAGGGGAGAGGGCTTCTTACGAGGAGGCTGCCCCCCCGTGCGCTGCCTCCCTCCCCCCCCCCGCGCGGGCGGCAGCGTGCGGCGGCGGGGAGCGGCCGAGCACAGCCTGAGGCCGCGTCGGCCTGCCGCTGGGCTGCTGCCGCGCCGGGCGGGTCTGCCGGCGGCGGCGCCCCCTCGAGCAGGAGGAGGGGGAGGAGGAGGAGGAGGAGGAGGCGGAGGAGGAGGGGGAGGGGGGGGAGGAGGAGGAGGGGGAGGAGGAGGAGGAGGAGCGCACGTAACTCATGAGGGCATGGTTCGGTTATCGAGTGGCGCTGATGGCCAGCTTCGTGGCACGCAGGAGCCTCAGGTGGGCCTCAAGGTCGCCACAACGGGAAGGCGAGGCCTCATGCTCTGCCTTGAGCTGATGGTAGAAGTGAAAACTAAGCACGACTAAGCGATGAGTGGTCTCTCGGGTGACCTGCGAATCATAATCTGAATCGAGGCCAAGGCCGAGACGGGCCAGGGGGCAAGAGGGGAGGAAGAGCCTCGGACGGGCGAGGAGGTGGAGGAGACGTGGGCAGGCCAGGTAATGAGGCCACCGATCGAGACCATCCTCGCACCCTAACAAGCAGCGGCGCTGGCCCAGCACGGGCATACGACCTGAGGTGACCCAACCCCCTGCGAGAGTCTTCAAGTGGGCCCAAGCCCAGCTGGGCTTGGACCGGGAGAGCACACCACGGAGCAATGCCCAACGATGGGCCAAGTCACTCAGCGGGGGAAGGGGCACCTCAGGGAGCCAGGCCCTCAACCTTCGAAGGAGGAGAGAGGGGAGATCATCGGGGAAGACGAGGCGGGTGAGGGCCTGGGCGAACGCACGCTGGGGCCTCGGACGGCGAGAGGCGACAGCAGCGGCGGCTAATTCCTCCGTGCCGGCAGCAACGGCATCGCGAAGCTGGTCCAAGCGAAGCGAATAGCGCGGCACACAGTCCAAGACCGAGACAAGGAACTGTGCGATACTCTGTTCTCGCTGCCAACACGGAGGGCTCCATTCTTGGCGAATAAATCGGACCAGCGGCCCGTTCCACACTGCAAATTCCCCTAATTCGAGAGAGAGTTGCCGAACCCTGGGGCCATAAGTGTGGGCCGCAAACCTCCATGCCGAAGCGCAGGCAAGAACAGCCATCGACGCTGGGCCGGGACCAGGGATCCAGGCATTCAAAGACAGCAGTTCGTCTCGTTTGAACGTATTCGGGGGCAGCCGAAGCAGTTTATGAACAAGCCGGGGCTCTTTGGAAAGGAGGGAGGAAGGGAGGGGAAAGAACTGACAGAGGTAGGAGAGGACGGAGAGAATCGAGGAGTTGTACGTGCGGCAAGAGGCCGCCAACGGCGACCGGGTCGCTGCCACGAGGCGGGTCCGAAAGCCCAGCTTTGATGCTGCTGCGTCCCACTGGGCCTCGAGGGTGGCCGCAGGACCGAACAAGATGCCGAGATACTTGGCGAGGCCAGCAATGGAAAAAGAGGAGAAGAGGGGAGCGACGACCGAAAGGAGAGAGGAGATAGCTGAAGCGACGGCGGCACAGCATGCAGTCCACAATGGGACCACAACGCACTTTTTAGGCTGCAAACAAAGACAGGCGAGGCGACGCGCAGCCAGAAACACTGGCTCAATCCGGGCAGCCTGGCTCAGACAAGGCAGTACAACTCCAACATCGTCGGCGCACGCCCCGGCATCCAGATGGTCGCACGGCGGTTCGCTAGCGTCGATGCCCTCGGCGATGTGGAACAGGAAGGCGTCGAAGCACAATGCCCACAAAGTTCCGGACAGTGGGCACCCCTGGGCAACTCCAGCGGAGACATGGAATGAGTACCGGAATTCGTCACCAAACCAAGCGCTGACCTGCAAATCGTGATACAAGGCCCAGATCGCACATATGTAGCCAGCCGGCAAGCAGTGGTGGAGCAAGACTGCGGCTATCCACTGCCAGTTCATGGAGGGGAAGGCGGCCTGCACGTCGTAAGAGAGGAAGCATGGCATGCGCTCGGCGGCATCCTCGTGTCCTCCCGCCCTCCTGGCAGCGGCGTCCAGTTCCACAATGTGTGAAGTAAACTGGCGGCCGCGGAGGAAACCTCTCTGGGAGGGGTGGCAGCGGCTTTCAACAACATGTCGAAGGTAGGAGTTGATCGTAGATGCCGCGGCCTTCGAGTCGCTGTTCTTCAAAGTAAGCGGCCGCAGCACGTCAGGAAAGCGTACCACATCGACCAAATCCTCGGGTAGTTCGTCCTTCGGTATGAAACACATCAAGGAGTGGTTGAAGCCTGGTGGCGATCCCCGGCCGCTGAAGATGTCCAGCATAATCAAATACAAAGCTTCAGTCGCATCCTCGTTCGCCAGCCAAGCGCGATACGGAAGGCGATCGGGACCGGGTGCACTTGCCTTGCCGAGGCGGAGAGCACGCCGCAGGTCAGCCTTCGACGGGAGAGGAAGCAGAGGACGTTCATAGCGAGGGAGGTGCACAGCGAGATAAGGGGAGAGTTCGTCAGCAGGAACAGGTTTGGCTTGAAAAACACGAGCCCAATGATGAGACAAAGCAGCAGCCATGTCAGCAGGATCTCGAGCCACCCCTGGGTATGTTCACAACTGCTGTTCACCCAAAAATTAATGTTTCAAGGCGCCGGGGTTGTTGAGGCCCTGATGTAGCTAACGCACCTAAAACCTCTTAGGATTCAGAGAGCGCAACCATCTTTGCGCTCTGAAAACGTGGGGTGCTCACAAGTTCTCACACTGAAACAACCTAATGGTTCACTTGGCTTCTTCATTTTTGGGAAGCAAAAACGATGAGCAACCGCGATTTCATGGCGCTAGAACTAGTGCGGAAATTGACCTCAAGCATCTTTCCCGAGTGCAAAAATCGCGAGTGCGTAAGATCAGGACCTCGAAATACTGGAGGCGACGCCTTCGGCGGACACTTTTATGCGCAGCTCATTACAGAGCGCTTCTAGTTCCAGGATGCCAAAAATAGCAAACAACTTATGATTGCTATCTCCTCTTGATCATCCTGCTCCTTCTCCTCCTCCTCCTCCCTCCTGTCCTCCTCCTCCTTCCCCTCCTCCCCCTCCTCCGTTTTGATGTCAGGGTGTTTCTTGGTGTGTATCTTGGGCGTCCCTGATGGGGGAGCAGCGTCAGTTGAAAGGAAATATCCAAACACGCACAGCAAATATAAGTGTATAAGTCGTTTGGGGTGCATGCAGCGCTGGGGGGCAGATGGGCAGGGGGCCACGGGCAAAGAGCAGTCGACCGCCTAGCAGAAGAGCCCGAACATGTGCTGAAGATAGCAAGCGCTCAAGGTTGTCCGCCATCTGTCGTTTATCTCGCTCCATTTCCTTCCGCAGCTGTCTTCTATCAGGAGTGTAGCGTGTCACGTTTCATATGTCGTTTGCTCTTTCTCGTCAGCTTCAGATTGTTGCTCGCACGAAAGTTGTTCGTGCCACGGACGGCGCCGATGAGCTGGTCATCTCCAGGGAACATCTTGCAATCATTGTGTCGTCTTTAACCAGGCAGAATGCTGATGCAACGGCCCGACAAATTCGGCACATATTGAGCCCTGCTTGGATGCACCCATGTGGATTCAGAGCTGTCCAGCTACCGTCTCTCTTGGCGAATCTTGGTATTCGGGGCATCTCCGATGCTGCCTGGCGCAACATGCTGACGACTGCGATGGATCCTAGACCTCCGCGCCCACAGCCACTACCGCTGCCTCTTCCAGCTCCTGCGGTCGCCCCTCCAGATTTATCACTTGTTCCTCGGGACACTACGGGCTCCCTGGTCTCACGATGGGCGCGACGGAGAAGCGACGCCATTGCTCAGCAATATGATGTTTTGGATCGTTGCACGTTGGTTCAGTTGATTCGCACGAGGGACGATCAGATTGAGAGCACAGTTGCCAGTTTCAAGGGTTTCAGGAACGACACGCAGAAGAAATTAGCAAAAGCTGCGAGTGAGATTCGCGCCCTCCAGAAACAGATCGTTGCATTAACGGGTTCGCAGCCAGAGTCCCAGCTAGTCATCTCCAGGGGGGCCAAGGATGTCCGTCTCACATTGCCTGGTACTTGTGCCGTTGCCATGAGAAAGGCCCTTGCCAACATCTCTGCCAGTTCATTCGGAAATGTTGTGTTGATGGACATGTCTCATCAGACAGTGTGCCGTTCAGAAATCAGTTTTGGCAGCCGACTGCAATCTAGTTTTCGAACATTCCACATAGAGAATGAAGCCGACATGCTTCAACAGGCTGCTGATTCGCTATCATCCTGCATAGATGCCGATCCAACACATCGTTACATTTCGACGATGTCTGTTCACCGCTTCAGAGCGGACGCTACAAACTCTAGCATTTGGAATGGTAATAAGTTGATGGTGTCTGAACTCGAGAGCATCTATGTGTCCTCGGACTTGCTTTCACGCCCGAACGATGAGGTACGGCACCTGATGATGAATGAGTCCCAATCGATGCGCAGAGCGTTGGACATGTTGCCAATAATTGATGCGTCAGGCAAGGGGACTTACTGTACAGTGCGCAAGGTTTGCGAAACAGCAGGCTTCAGGTGGACATCCTTCGTTACCCCGGCGCCCGCTCCTTTGCCGCCTGCGCTGATATGGAGAGTGGTCATGTACATATCTGATGGCGGCCCTGATCAGGTGGGAAGGGAGGGGCAGAAGATGAAGGAATGAGAGGACGAGAGGTTGCAATGCGCAACAGCTTGTGCAACATGGGTCGTGAGTCGTGGCGTGTGCTTATGTTGGCCTGGCATCCGTGTGCACAGCTGCCTGCCAACTGCTTCTCTGTCGTGTGATGGGCGTTAGCGGGAGTCATGATCAGCATGGGGAAGGGGGAGGTTGTATTCAAGCAGTTGCTGGCAGCTGACTTGGGCAGCGCATTTAACATTACCCTCATCGAGTTGGGCTGCCTCCACCATTCATCGAGCCTGATTCACAATGGGAACCTCAAGCTGACAGATTGGTTTCTCCAGAATTGTTTACCAGTCAAACCACCTTGGCACTTTTACGCGTCAATGGCCAAGCTGAACCACATATGGAGAGATTGTTCGAAAGACATGTTTCGCTCTTGGAAAAGATGCAACGGTACTGAGGCTGCGCTCAAGTTTGCTCGTAAACTTCCAGGCCGCGTGTTGTCTGGAA